CCCCAAAACCCCAAAACCCCAAAACCCCAAAACCCCAACATACATCCAGACCTGTGAAATACTACCAATAGATATTAAGACACTATATTCCAAATCTTTTCACCAAGAAAATTAAGAGTATGATGTAATTTGGAAGTGAAAATAAAATTCTGGAAAGAAAACTCAATCCTCAAGCTTTTAGCATAATTATGTTGTTATTTGTGTATCGACAAGTCACATGCTAAGAAGTATAGAACAGCAAACACCATTCATGCAATTCCAAGGGCATCACAAATCATTGGGAAGCCCCAGATACTAAAGATAACATTTCCTATCATCGGTCCGAAGATTTCACCAAGAGCAAAGAACATGTTGAATAGGCCTGAACACATGTCGTTAAGCATCTCACTATCAGAATCGGTCTAAATGGTTATTAATAACTTACAGAGCTTTTAGCAACTTCTATCATCTCTTCCATCGGAGTTATCACCAGGTGGGAGTTGGCAACTCCAGCAGCAACAAGGGCCATTGACAACACCATCATGTTGGGTGTCAAGAATGTCAAAATATATGAAGAACTGTAGAAAATAGTAAAGATGCCTAGCAAGAAGCAAGATATCATAGACACTCTCATGTTCGAGAAATAGTCAAGGTACATTGGACTAATAATACAACTTATCATGTATCCAAGCCCAAGAGCAAGGAAGAAATATCCAGAAGTTTGTGGTGCTAAATTAAATGTATCCTTTACATATTCTGCCAGAATTGGGTCTATGAATGCATACTGGAACACTGAGATAAACACACACATGCAAGCAAATAAAATCCTTTTGTTCGTCAAAAGTTCTGAATATTTGGGCTTTACTGTGTTATCTTGAGTTGAATTATCCTGAATATCATCAACAAAGTAAGGAATCAAGCTCTTTATAAATAGCCCAATGAAAAGACAGATGAAGAAGAACGTCAAGAAAGGAGCTGCGCTTCCTCCAAATTCGTAGAGGATAGTTCCCATCACTGGGCCTAAACTCAGTCCAAGTCCTGCTGAAGTTTCAACACAGGCCATCACAAAGTTAACTCGGGTTGGATAAGTGAGCGTTAATACAGAGTACACCGAGGTCTGAACCATACTAGTTCCTATCCCCTGAATCACTCTCATCACCATAAAAATAACGATAAATAGCGTAGAGTTAGTAGTATAATTGTTGAGGAAGAAGCCAAGAGAAGGAATTGCAACAGCTAGCATTCCCCATCTGCACATATTTCTTCTTCCAAAAGTATACAAGTGCTTGCCAACTATTGGGCAAAATATAGCCATCGAAACACTATAAATACAAAACATGAACCCAAGGTAAACCTGGTCGATATTGTGCTTCTCAGCATCAATAGGTAGCAGTGGAGCACATATTCCGTAAGAGCAGTCCAATATCACAATAGTTATACACATGTACACTATCAGAATCTGGGAGACTTCGCCTTCAGAACTGGTTGAAGTGGCACAAGATTCGTTCCCTTGGTCATCTTCACCCTTCTCAATCAAGGGTTTCCTGATATCCTTGTTATCAAGCTCAAGATCATTTGGGTCTTCAGATGTCTTCAAAGTCTCCATTGTCGATAACCCAATTATATTTATTTCAAACCCTCCACAAACCTTTGGGGTTTTGGGGTTTTGGGGTTTTGGGGTTTTGGGG